GGAAATTTCATACGTTCTTTATGGAGGATGTAGGAAAACATGTAGTTTCTTTGCAGATGTTTTTCATGCAAAGTATTCTAAGTACAAGCAGAGTCTCAGTTCTTTTGGGATCACTTTTCTGTGGGATTTTACAAAGCATTATTAAAACAAAGCCAAGTTAATATTGATTTATCTCAAAGATAACAGACCTTTGAATACTTTACCCACATTTATGCTAGTAAGGGCATTCACATAACTGTATTAACTTTATCCTTTAACAATTATTCCATCAAAGAAATAATTTTCCTTCAACTTCTGAAAGTCTCAACCTCAAAAATAAGGAATTATTTCCTTATATTTGTAGGTTTTTTTGACAGAAACCTTAGAAGAAAAGAGGAGCAATGTTTCTGGGATAAGAACTTGAACTCTAGAGTACCATTCATGTACTGTACTCCCAAATGATTTATCAGGGGAAGACCAGTGGTAAATAAAAGTTTAAAAGAACCAAACATAATGAAGTGTCAGTAGAAGTAAAAGTCTAGAAAGTTTTCAAGGGCAGAAAGCATTACATTAAAATCAGTAGCATTAATTATATTTTGTTTAAAACAACATTTTCAAAGGAAGTTTTTCATTGTGAATTAAAATAAAATGCTTTTTTTTTTATGAGCAACTGAGATGGCATGGTACATCATAACACTACAGATATTATGGGAAGGAATATATAATGGGATTTTATTTCATAGAAATTTAAATGAGGTTTTAAAAATTATTATATCTGAAACCTAGAGTATTATTATAGTTATATAGATACAAAATATTTCACATTTTCTTTCCATTTCTCGTTATTGAGCAAAAATTACAATCTTTCTCATAATATTTCTTTTTTAGGGTCATCTACTTCGCAGAAGATGACACTAATATCTTGCCTAGATCTTTCCTAACTTGACAAAATACTTAGCTAAAATAACTGTTACTGATTGTGGAATGTATAGTCGGCAAATAGCAAAAACAAATTAGAAAGTCATAATATTATTTATAATCATGAGTGATTAAAATTTTTGAAGCAAGTTATATGAAGAAAAGGAGAAACACACTAGTGGAAATAATGGATTTAGATCATGACACACTAATAATGTGATCATTCAATTTACAATGTTAAATAAATCAGTATGTTATATTCTAAATACAATTTCTCAACATTAACTATTACTGAATTATTTTTATTATTTTGTGACCTTGTAATCCATTAATTTGACATTAAAAGGTGAAGTGATTATAACATAACATTAAATATAATAAGGAAAATGACTGTGAGAAATCAAAGAAAATTTAACTGACTTTTGATGCTATAAAAATATTCTTACTCTTGGAAAGTGCTTTCTTTTCCTGGATTTCTTTCAGTTGTATTCTCACACATGTTAGCCATGCTGTGAGTGAGACTTCAGGCACAAGCAAACAGTGTGACCACAACTCCAGTTCCTCTTCACAAGCCTTGTAATGAAATGCAAAGCAACCAAATAATACAGCCCTATGCAGTTCATCTCATTGTCTAATGTCTAATGCTGGCCATGTTTAAGAACGGACTGAACATTCTAAGCATGTGAATAACATGTTAGCTACAGAATACCACCTTCATTATGTGGAAAATATACCTGTGTCAGGAACATCTGCTCATTTTTTTATAATTTCTAACCAAACTCATTCAAATATATGGGGGAAAAAAATCAAGACACTAATTTCCCAAAACGCAATCTCAGACTGTTACAAATCCAAACATATTGGGGAGGGGCAAGAAGGAGGAAATTTCAGTTGGGGTAAGTTAACTGTCAGGAACATCCACAATCTTCTTGCCATTAGCACTAAGGAATAACATAGAAGATGAGATCCCCAAGCTCATCATATGTTAGAGCTGAACAGCAAACCATCCCACCCCATCACTTCTGGGGTGCTGGATTGCTATGGCAGACTACCAAACCTCAAGGAGGCAAGTTATAAATTTTATATAAATTTTATAGGCCACTAAAATGTCTTCCATCTTACACACACAGTCCTTCCTCACCCATCTACTATGGAATATCGTCAAATACCTTAACTTAATAGGGAGAAAAATTTCCTAAAATTTTTGCATTTCTTGATTATTGCTGACCTGCATACTGAAGAAGGTGGAGGACTAAAATTTCTTTTGTAGAACAAAGACAGTGAATACCACAAAGGTTAAAGTAGTTGCGTAATAGAAGAAAATATCCAACCCTATTTTGGAGTTCTTGTTTTTTTATTGTTTTGATGGGGTTTGTGGTTTGTTGGTTTGGGTGTTGTTTTTTGGGTTTTTTTTGTTTGTTTTTTTTTTTCCTCTGGAATGCTTGTGTTTTTTTCTCAGTAATTGTAGTAATTTGATAGTATGCTAATATGCTGAATCTTTGGAATTACTGACTTTATTGAGGTTGAGAGATTAAATTGTTTGCATTCTTGGCAGATCAAGAGAAGAGCAAAATCACAAGAATACATTCTTTAGGAGAGGCTAGGAAGAGGTGAGGATCATATCTGTGTTTCTTAGAACTTTTCAAGGTCAGGTTTTTATAGGAATAAAGAATTGGGAAAATCTAACAAATAGCCCTCATGAAATGGGTAGTAAAAGTGGTTGACACTGAGGAAGAGACACTGATTTTCAGGCTACACCAGAATAGAGTATAAGCTATCTAGACTCTAGACTGAATGCTACATTATTTATCCCAAATGTTTGGATTGCTTTTCCTGTTGTTCATCACTCTCTTTGCAGACTACCTATGAGCAATTTAGGTTAAAAAAAAAAAAAAAAAAAAAGAAACTGAAGTGAGTTTAGGAACTTCTGCATTACTGAAATTGCACTGTGACAGAGCTGCTGTTTATTTCATTTATATAAGTCTTTTCAGTTTATTGCCAGCTTCTTCTGTGAATTTGACAGTGTAATGTTTTGTGACAGTTAAACAGGTTACTTCATGTAAATGGACTTTGATTTCAGGCATTCCAAAGAAATTTAATACAGTTCTGTCTCACACTGATAAAGAAAGAAAGAAGATAGACATACATAAGCAACAGCATTTTTGACAGTTTTCTGCCAAGTCATGCTGTGTAGCATCAGCTGAGAAATGAAAAATAATTTTGTCTAAGATTACCCTATGGAGTCTAAAAAATGTTCAATGAATTTCAGTCCTGAACTTCCAATCCTGTATACTGAGTCATGAAAAGCTCACACCATTCTGTATGCATCACTTGTTAATGACATTCTTTGACCTTTATAAAAAGACTTAACAAAGGAAATGAATATCCATTGTTGTTTTACTAAAAAGGTAGTATTGATCATGAATAGTCCCATTCCAAACTCTCAAGTTCCATGAAAAAGCTAGTATGCATTTTGAGTTCATTATAAAGGGATAGTATTTCAAGATAGACAATTTACAAATTGTTATATATCTATCTTTTTGTACTGTTATATTCATAAGGTTGCAAGAAGAGAAGGAATGCAGCACGAATTGTGCATATTAGGCTACAGTAGAAAAGTTAATGGGAAAAGCTGAAAGAGAAGAAAGGGACAGAAGACCAGTTGCTCAGTTGCTCACTCAGGCTCTTCACGGTGGTACTTGATGGGAGGAAGAGTGTAAGTGGGACAAAAGAGGATCAGAATTTATATAAGAAAAAATGTTTTTGAGGAAAAACTTTTTTCAACCCAAGTACAGTCAAGAAATGGAGCATGTTGCACAGAGAGGCTGAACAGCCTCCATACTTGGAAGTTTTCAAGGTATTACAGAATAAACCCCTGAGCAACCTGGTCTCATCTCATCCCCTTATCATATTTTGGGCAGGAAGTTGAATTAGAGGGCTCCCATAGTCTCTTGCCACCTGAATTATTATTTTATCCTATGATTACATGGTACTGGGTACCCAGCAGTGTAAAAAAGAGAAGGATTTAGGGAAGTAATAGGAAAAAGGAAAAATTATTGCCAAATGGGAAAAGAGGCAGGAAAACCCTTATTGCAATAGCTTTCTCCACTTGTTCCCTATTGCAGCTATAGAAGGGGGCAGGTATGTCCAAAATTAGGAACAGAAAAGATGGCTACATCTACAGGAAACATGTCTACAAAGTCTTCACACCAACCCTGGAAGGAGTGATGGGGCTGGAGTGGGGACTCTACCAAAGTAATTTACATTATTATGTCCAAGAAAAGCCATATATGTTAAGGGTTATCTAGAACAATTAGTTCCTTATTCTGTGTTTTGCTTTTGTGACTCTTATAACATAATTGTATTTCTCTAATCTTTGCTTCTACACACTCTCTTATATTTAAATCTTGTAACACCATAAACCAGAGTCACATCACATATGGAAGACACAGCCTTCCCTGGAATGATGGACATAATTGGGGTGCACTGAAATGAAATATTTGTGCTACCTATATTCAAGGGCTCCTCTTGAGTTTTCATGTTGCTTCCACACTGGGTTGCAGGAGTCTTTTTGTGCTGTTAACTCTGGTTTATGCAGAGAAAGACAACTCCTTTGGTATGACTGGAATTTCTTTGATGAGAAGCCTGAAAGTGGAAAATGGCTTCACACTTCAGGAGCAAGGGATGGAAAGGAAACCTGTCACACTAACATAGCATAAATTTGAAAAAGTCTTCTTCCTTTTTTATTCTGTTCATTGCCCTCCAAAGATGAAAGACAGAGTTCCATTCCTAAGATTTAATTTTTTTTTTTTTTGCCTACATATTCAAAACAGAAGTAAAACTATTAAAGTCTTCGGAAGTTCACAGCTACATCGTTTTGATAGTGACACTGGAGGAAATGGGGAAGCAACTATCAGCTTCACTTTAAAAGTGAAATGGGAAAAAAGATATATAAAATGTCAGTGTCAAGGATATTAGTAAATATCTATGAAGATATGTGTACATATTAAAATAATTTCTGATTTCAGGAAAAAAAGATGGAGTTGAATGTGCAACCATGGACAATAACATTTTTATCTTATACAACTTTGTTTCTCTTTTAGTGGCAAAGCATTACTATAACACTGGTTGAGAAAGTGCAGATGGTTGCTGTAATCCTAGGAGCTCTGTTCTTAGTAGCAAGTGTGACTTGGCTTCTATGGTCAGCCTTCAGCCCTTATGCAGTATGGCAAAGAAAGGACATCCTTTTTCAAATCTGCTATGGAATGTATGGTTTTATGGATCTAGTATGCATAGGTAAGCTCAAAATATTTAAACAGCACAGACTGTGGTTTAAGACTGTGACTATTTCTATTTTTCTAATTGGTCACTCTAATTATCACTCCAGTTCTTTGCAGATTTATTCTCAGCTGATACCTTTGGCAAGTTCTGCTTTTTACAGTGTTGCAAATAGAAAGGAACCAAAGAAGCTTTACTCTCAGATTCATCAGTGTATTCCCAAAATCTTAGTGGTGAGAGCCGGATCAGTTTAAATTTCTTGATAAAATGACTAGCAAAGTTCAGGGAGTTAAACAGATGAAAATATGAAACAAGTTATTAAAATAATTAGTAAACTTACACACTGTCATCTTCTGATGCCAGTTTGAATTAGATTGTACAATCATGAATCACAGAAGAAGCCCTTGAAGATGTCATCAAATTGCACACCCAAAATTAGGTTGCACAGATTTATATAGGTCACTGTGCTAGAAACGGAGGAGAGCAGAGAAGGCAGGCATGAGTTCTTTGCACATCATAAGCAATTATGAAACACTCACACAGTGCTAACTATAGTAACTTGCTTTACCAATACAAAGCCCCAAGTCATTTAGCTGAAATCTTGTAAAAGAAAATAGATTTTACTGCAACACTGTATTGACCACTTTTGAAATTTGTGAAAATACACTGGACCTGAGAATATTTGAATAAAAATCCCTTTAGGATTTGGTAAAACAACCTGATTTGATTGTTAGCATATTTATGATTATTTGGAGAGAAAATTTACATTAAATATTACATAATTATATAATTTAGATAATTAAATTTACATAATTAGTAATAATGATTTACATTAAACCACATTCACAGAATTTTAATTGCAAGAAAATCCAGAAGTTAAATGCCATCTGATGTTTGCACTGTCATTTCTGAGATATAAATGTTATCTGAATCTTATATATGGGAATTGTGACAGTGCTGAATTCTGCTTTGTAAGGAACAAAGAAACAGAGTGATTCCTAATATCAAGGGTTTTGCTTCAACTGTAAAACCACATCATCTTCTATTGAAACCATCCCATTACAGTGAAAGTATTTAAATTTCAGGTACATAAGCAGTTCTGTTCATTTTGTAATTTTTGTTAGAGAAGCCTGCTCTGGAATATTTAGAAAGCCTGTAATACAGACTTTCTTCTGTGAACCCAAATCTCAGACAGAAAAGTGAGCAGAATCTCATACTTTGGACAAGTGCTCATCTTTTAAATGAATAAAAGGACCCTACTACATGTCCTCTTAGATGCTGATTTCTGAACATCCCCTCTTCCAGCTTAACACTTAATACTGAAGGCTTTTCTTTTGTTTAGAAATGCACTAAAGGAAGATAAAATGTGCTTCAGGCCTTCCAAGCATTTAATTTATATGGAATTCTGGTTTGTTTGGGTTTTTTTCCCAATTAAAAAAAATACTTTGGTATGCATCAGCTAGTTGAAATAACTAGTTACTTCAAATTATTTTCATTGTTCTCTTTTGTTTTACTGTTAAAACACCTAAATCAGATTAAACTCAAAAAATATCTGTGGGTGATCAGAAATATTACTGTATTTATCCATAGAAGTAAGTATTTGGAAGGTGACCTTCCATAAATTGGTTTATGCTTTAGCTGCCTTTCAAGCCAGCTAGGCTCAAGCCACTGCTGAAGTGGAAGCTGCTGAACAAACGTGTACCTCACACGGAACTTCTGGCTCAACTACACCCTGCAGGAGCAAAGCAAGCACACAGATAAACTGACTTGCTTGTCATTTAGTCAATGCATATTTTACAGAACTGTCATAAATAATACATGAAAATTTAAATGTAAAGGTGACTACAATTAAATATATTTGGACACTGTAATGTAGTTACAAAATTCACTGCAGATATGACTTAGGAATTTACTAAACTGTATCTGGAAATTCAGAAAGCTGTATAAAGGAGGTTTTGTAATTGAGGAATTTTGGTAATCCGGATTCATTCAGACCTACTTATTCTGCATATAGTTTCAAGTAATTTGCATTCTGTTAGCTTGTAAGATCAGGACTTCTTTTAACTCTTAAAAGTATTCATTAATATAGTCAACCTTATTCAATTTAATCTTTTCCTTCCATGATAAAGTGAGTGGTTTAGATTGATGATTTTAATTTACAATTTTCAAATAAAATTCTCTAATAGATATATGCAAGTATTACTTATAAATTATTTCAAAAACCCAAAATACCTTCCATTATGCTGATGACTTCCCAAGGCATTAATTTATTTTACCATTATTATGTATAATCTCTTATATCATGAAGCTTGTAATGCTTCCAACCAGCTACAGGTCTCACTTAGGATCTCCTCTCCTTTCATTTGTGTTTAGTCATCCATGGCATTGTCTTAAGTTTAAACACGATTTACAGTGAGCAAATATCTCTACTCCCACTGTAATCTCTCTTTATTTCAATGAAAAATTTATGTAGACATACAGGTTTTCCTGTATATTTCAAGATAATGCTTGAGATACTGGTGGTATGACCAAGATTTATTCCACGTTCTTTCAGTTATGCCTCCCTACACCTTTGCAGAAACAATACAAATACTTTTTGGTTGTTTGTGAAGTGTAGATATCTTCACACAAAAAATGTGAAGCAGTTTTTGAAATGTTTTGCTATAATTTTTAAAAGCAGTTTGCCAAAAGGTACTGACATATTTTTATGACATATTTCAAAATGTGCACATAACAATTCATTTACTAAATGACTGACTTTTATATCACCTGTAGCACACCAGTCACTTTCTTATTAAGTAAATTACACTTAACTTGTAATTTACTTCTTTGTTTTTATATTTCAGCAAAAGAAAAAGCCTGAAGATTATAGATCACCAGAATACTATGTTCTGTTCATTCTAGTGTACATGTTTTATTGGTATCTATTGTTCTCTTTCTTCTAGTCTGAATTTTCCCAGAATTATTCCTGACAAATAGGATTGTTTTTATTTATCAGTGTTGGTCTTAACCCTACAAGTCATCACCTTGTACCTTTCTGCATCAAATCTGAGCATAAAGCTGCTCTCTTTGAAATTTGCTACTGTTGAAGTATTCCTAAAGCAAATCTTAAGCATCCTAATTAAGCAGAACTACAGTCTGTGAAACCCAGAGTTATTCCAGTGATAGTGCTAGGATCAGACTATCCACGTAGGGATTACCAAAGGGAGTGAGTTCTTGAAAGGAATGAATAATATAAATCCCTTATCTGCCCACTGAAGGACAGTATATCAAGTCTTCACCATTCTACTTTCTAAACCTAGCAATTACTTTGCATAACAGAAAAGTAGTAAAATTTTATGGTTTTTTCCCTCTGGAAAATAGTTATAACTATTGGTCATAAATAGTTCTAACATGAACAAAACATCTCACATATAGTAACAGCTGACTTGCAATCCCAGAACAACAGTGCTGCTCCTTTTCCAGCAGTGAAAAGTAGTTGTGGCATTGCACTACACACAAGAGCACATGAGTGGTGCCAGTAGTGCTGTGGCAAGGCAATAAGAGATGCGAGCCAGTATGGGGTGTGAATTGACCTCTGAAAGCCTCTTTCTTCCCTGTTAAGGAACTTGATGCCTTGCAACATTCCTGTAACTCCTTGATTGTAAAAAGGAACAGACTGAAGTTACTTACAATGAACACACCTAGCTGCACTTTATGTGTTTACTCAGAAAGTTTTTTTTTTCTCCAACACTGGGTCTAATTCTAAATAGTTTATAAAGAATTATATTACTATTTTTAGCATGGCTATGTTTCACTTTAATGCTGTAAGTAATTGATTGCTTTTTTTTATATCTGTGGGCTCTAGAATAGTTTTAAGACATGACAATATTCCAAAGGTAAAGTCTGTTTCTGAAAATAATCTTTTATCCCTGGATAAAATCTGGTGATGTTACTGGGAGGACCATTCCTAAATGATTATTTATAAGATTAGTATGATAAATAAGATACAGTTTTAACCTAAGACCACCAAATATGAATGATATAAGACAAGTTGACTGCTGGTAAAGACATTCAGTAGTAAAAAATCTCAAGTATCTTGTGAGTCAGGGTAAGAAAACCTTTGAATACAGTGAAAGAATAGAATAATAATTGGCAAAAAGATAAAAAAAAATAAAATAAAATTAAGATTCTTCATAATCCTATTGTCTGGATCCCACTGCAATCCCTCCATCTTAGAGATAAAACCTAAAGTCTAAAGGTAAATTCTTTTTAGGACCATATGACATTTAGATAGGTCCGTCATCCAAAAACTGTTCTTTGTAGATATTAATTGGACAGAACACCTGAACTTCTAGCAGTATTGAATTGTAGTACTTCTTGAGATCGCCTGAATCAAACAAATATTTTTCCCCTACAAAGTGTTTTGCTGTGTTCTCTGTGTTGTTGAAATCAAGGTGTTTGAAACAAATCAGTGTTCTTCAGGGATTTGTTTTTGTTTCCTCTATCATAGCTACCTTCATTGCTGTGAAACCCTTAAGAGGAAGGCAATTATTTGCCATTTTCTTACAGCTCCACTCCAGTGACTAACTACTTATATGTTGAGCAGCAGAACACCTCTGGACCTGGACAATCTCTAGCATTTAAAATGTACCTGGAGTTCCACTTGTTTGTGGTCTTGGAACTGTTGGTACCAAGAACTTCCCCTGCCACAGTTCTTTTGCCTCATCTATGTAGGTATTTTTCAATCTATAGCTCTATCAAGAAGGGAGCTAATACTTTTTATGAGAGGAGTTATGAAAGTGCTGCTTTTCTCCTTCAGCACTGCCAAATCTGACAACTTTATGCCAAGGCTTGCAATATTTGATCCTTTGTTTTGTAGCTCTTTAAAGTATATGTGACTGGCAGCTTCCACTATAAAGGAAATTTCTCATCCTTGGCAATGTTTAAAAACTTTGAAAACATAATTTCAATAAATCCTGAAAGCCCCAAGACAGTAAAAAAGAGCTCCCTGAAAGAAGTCATCCTACAACTTCTTCTGTTGTAATTTTGGAAAGATATTTTGACTGTTTAAATGTACTATGTACCTTAATGATCCTTTCTCAAATACTTCCTTCTCTATTCTGAAATATGTTTTTCAGGTGGAGTGTAGATATGTATCTTTACTTTGGAGCAAATAGATTCTTTTAACTTTTCTTCACCACAGACTTGAGAGAAGTCGGACCAAATAATGTTGTGTTCTGGGAATAGATTGAGGAAGATTATTCTCATCTCCTTTATCAACTTTATAGGAAATCTGAAAGAACACAAATGAATTAATCTTTGTCCCAGCATTAAAACCATAGCTAATTTGGTTTGTAGAGTCTGTATGAGATCAAATACATTTATTATTTTTTGTACAATCAAGCCATTCTTGAAAGTAAAGTTATGTATCAATTAAATTATTATGATAAAATTTAAAGACAGGTTACTTTACCTATATCTGAGAAGATAAAGATAGAAATCTTGCAATCAAGAAAAAATTCCATTAAAATGCTTTGCTACTACAAAATATATTTAGAATATTTACTATTTATTTAAGTTTGTTTTGTGCTACTTTTTCTATATTGGACACTTCAATGAATTCTAGGCAACCTGAAAGCCTTACAGAGATGCTGCATTCACTATCATGTCCTTCTGAAAGAAAGCTTTGTGTTTCTCCATCTTTCAGTGTAATGATCTTTAAAAACATGTTAGAGTAAGTGTTGCTATCTGCAAATCATTGCACTTGAATGTGAGGTTTGCTGTTTGTGTAAATATTTTTACTACCCTTTCAGCTTTACTACCCTGTCATCTTTCTGTGAGCATCTCCTTTCTGATATCAGTTAATCATGCTAAAGGACATCAGATACTTAAATTGCAATTTTCTTGTGTAGAAACAGGTGATATACAATCTCTTGGGCTAAAGGACACCACAGATCATATTACAGATGTGGCCATGTATAGGAAAATCTTAGGCAAGGAGCACACTGCACAAAAGATTTATAAATGTTTTTGGCTAGGCAGATTGCTCTCTTCCCAAAGCAGGGAGCCAGAGAAAACAGGTGGTGCTGCTCACATGTAAGTGTCCTCAACCAGGCTGGCTGAGGAAATAACAAGTAAGAAGGCAGAAGTCCCATGTGTCTCCCCAGTAGATCCCTATTTGAAATACTCACATATAAAGAGTGTGAGTATAAACATATACATTCAGACAAAAAGTTAGGAGCTTCATTTCTTTAAATAAGCTGCTTGAATGCATACAATAGGCATAAATATTAGCTACATGGAAATTCACAAGCAGATTGGTCTCTTGAGGACTCCAGAAATTCTGTATTTTCCTTGAAAGGCCTTTTAAAAGATTTCTGGATCTCAGGAAAATGATAATTTACAACTTTTTCCTATTGAATACTGAAGAGAAAGAAGAAAGTCTATCATCTTTACCATGCTCACTGTAGTTAATAATAACATTTAATTTCTTCTTGTTCTAAAGAACAAGACAGGAAAGTCATTATATTTTCAGCTGTTTCATAAATCTTCTGTGCTCCTAAGTTGAACTGGGAGTATGAAAGCAGTTAAATTTGTCAGTATCTGTACTGAATTCTACAAAACACTCTTAAACAAATTAAGGACTATCTTGTTCATTGCAGAAGGTCTAACCTACTTAAAAGTCTACTTAAACGAGTACAAATCTCAGTAAATAAATAGTACTTACCATGAACAAGGGCAGCACTAGCATAAACAGTCAGTATACAAATCTGCCAGTTTTGCATTGGTTTTCTTAAATCTGAATAATTTATTTAGTTAGGCATGCTTAGATTATTCCAGAACTGGTTATGCTGATCTTTTATTCAGAACAACTTTATTTCCTCAGCATGTTCCTGCCTCCCAAACAAATGAATAACCAGTTAAATTGCATATCTATAGTTTGTTTGAATTATTAATGTTATGAGTAATTTAATTGCATATGGAAATTGCCAGAGTAATTAAAATGTGCTAAATCTGTATTTGCTCTCAAAATGGTATCCACTGACATTTTGTATAAATGCTCTTTTTTCCCTCTTACTTTCAGGACTGATAGTCCATGAAGGCGCATCTGTTTATCGAGTGTTTAAGCGCTGGAGAGCTGTGAATCTACACTGGGATGTGTTAAATTATGATAAAGCCATGGACATCGAAGAGAGCAATCGAGGAGAATCCTCAGCAGCGAGGACATTGTGGCTGCCACTGACTGCATTTAGAAACAGAAGTTTAGTTCATCCAACACAGTTAACCTCACCGAGATTTCAGTGTGGCTATGTGTTGTTACACCTGCTCAACCGCGTGAGACCTCAGGAGGATTCATCAGAGGATAACTGCTCTGGGGAAGTAGTGATGAGGGTGACCTCAGTGTAAAGATTGTGCTCACTGTGCTACACAGATGAGGATAGTGTGCCCTGGTGTTGCAGGACTGTGGAATGTAGTTATGATGAATGGTGAAACCATTAACACTTGAAAAAATATATCCACTTCTTTTTTTTTAAATTAAATGGTTTTTATATGATTAGATAAAACACAAATACATTTTTCTGGGGGAAAAAAGTATCTTGCTTTTTATATAGTCTGAAGTATTGAATCTTTTTTCAATTTGTACCTGAGGTGTATGTAACATAGCTTAACTCTTAGGTCTTTGAATGATGAGGAAACTCATTTTTAAGTAAAAATATATATTTAAATGTATTTTCTTAAACTCTGGCTTTAATCCACTACTGTTATTTTTTTCCACTTTCATGAGGATTAAACTGGACAACATTCTTCCAAGAAGAATAAGAATCTTAACACGAGTCAAATATTTTTCCTTTTCTGTCTTTATTTTGCTGTGGTTTGTAGCTCAGTTCAGGTGTGTGAAAGTAAGTGAGAGAGATATATTGCCCTGTGCATTTAAGCAGGAAGTCCAGTGGGTGTTCTACAAAACCTAAAGGAAGATGGGAAGTCTTTTCTTTTAGCTCTCCCAGCTGTTCATGCCAGATATCAGACACAAGTATGACATAGGAGAAGAGTCTTGTACTGCCTCTCAAGTCTCTTAAGATCTGCAGAGGGCTGGTGCTGTGCCTGTGCACAGAAGTGACATTATCTTCTGAGCAGCACTGCTGGAATTAGCAATGTGTGACTCTTTAGTATCATTCTAATTATAGGTCATTGACATACCTTTAAAAAAAATTTTTAAAAAAGAAAAAACATTCATTGCAACTTCTGGAATAATAATAAATCCTGATAGAATTGGACGTATAAATAATACAGAACTTTAATTTTGCCAGGGAACAAATCCTCATACTAAAAATGAGCCAATATTATGCTAGATCAGTGCTGTGAAGTTTGCTTCTCTTGTTTCTGTTTCTAATAGAATTTAAGTAAATAGTAATGGAAATTGAAATAATTTTAAACTTAATAATAAGCCTGAGATAGAAAAGTAAGGCTGAAATTACTCTGAGTGCACTAGCTTACTCAAAACAATTTTGTAGCATCATAGAATATACTGATTTGTAAGGAACCTATCAGGAGCATCAAGTCCAACTCTTGACCCTACACAGGACACCCCAAGATTCACACCGTGTGCCTGAAAACGTTGTCCAAACACTTCTTGAACTCTGTCAGGCTGGTGCTGTGACCACTTCCCTGGGGAGTCTGTTCCACTGCTCAGTTCACCTCTGGTGAAAAATCTTTTCGCGATACTCAGTCTAAACCTCTCCTGACTGAGCTTCAGGCCATTTCCTTGAATCCTGTCACTGATCATGAGAGTGAAATGGTACCCATCTGTCATAGTTTCACCCCAGCCAGGCAGCCACTCACTCAGTCCCCCACCGGTGGGACATGGGAGAGAATCAGAAGGGTAAAAACCAGAAAACTCATGGGCTGAGATAAAGACAGTTTATGAAGGAAAGTAAAAGCCACAAGCTCAAACAAATTTAAACAGGGAATTCATTCACCACTTCCCATGGGCAGGCAGATGTTCAGCCATCTCCAGGAGAATGAGGCCTCATCATACATTGTGGTTACTTGGAAAGACAAAAAACACCACCCCAAACATCCCTCCCTTTCATCTGTCTTCCCCCCACTTTATATACTGCACGTGATGTCACATGGTCTGGAATATATCTTTGGGCAGTTTGGGTCACCTGTCCTGGCTGTGTCTCCTCTCAGACTTCCCACAACCCTCACCCTCCTCACCAGCAGGGCACTGCAGAAATCAGAAGAGGCCTTGGCTCTGTATGAGCCCTGCTCAGCCATAACAAAAACATGTCTATCAACATCTATTACCAACCCTGGGCTCAGCGTAAATCCAAAACACATTCAGTACCAGTCATTGTGAAGACATTTAATTATACTCCAGCCAAACCCAGCACATTCCACTCCTTATTCTATAGCATTTACATCATGCCAGGTGTCCCGCTATTCAATACGATTGCAGTAACCACCACCCGAACCAACACACTGCCCCTCTGCTTCCCCTCATGAGGATGTTGAAGACAACAGTGAGGTCTCCCCTCAGTCTCTTCTCCAGGCTGAACAGACCAAATGAGCTCAGTTGCTCCTCATATGGCTTCTTCTCCAGATCCTTCACCATCTTTGTGGTCCTCCTTTGGGTCTCCTTTGCATGTTCTTTAATAGTTAAGTGTCTTTCTTATATTGTGGCATCCAAAATTGCACACAGCACTCGAGGTGAGGCAGCCCCAGTGCAGAGCAGACCAGGACAATCCCCTCCCTTGCCTGGCTGGTGATGTTGTGCCTGATGCCTCCCAGGACAGGGTTGGCCCTCCTGGCTGCCAGGGCACTGCTGGCTCATGTTCAACTTGCCACTGAGCAGGACGCCCAGGGCCCTTTCCGCAGCATTGCTTCCCAGCATCTCATTCTATACACACATCCAGGGTTGCCCAATCTAAAGTACAGAATCCAGCACTTGATTATGTTGAACTTCATATGTTGATGACTAGCCATCTCTCTAATTTGTTGAGGTCTCTCTGCAGGGTCTCCCTGTCCCTTAGAGTGTCAACATCTCCTCTCAATTTAGTGTCATCAGCAAACATATTTAGTGTTTCTTTGAGTCCTGTGTCCAAGTCATGAATAAAGATGTTGAAGAGAACTGAGTCAGGGATGGAGTGTTGGGTTGATCTTGTGTGGCTGTCAGATCCCCACCCAGCTTCTCTATCACCCTTCTCAACAGAAGAGAGACGGAATATAGCATGAAAAATCTTGTGGGTTAAAACAAAGATACCCCTCTTCTTCCCAGGCTCAGGTTCAACCCTTCACTCACAACTCTTTTACCTTCTCCTCACTGGACAGCACAGGGGGATAAGGAATGGGGCTCTGCGGTTAGTCTGTAACAGTTCCTGTCTGCTGCTCCTTTCTCCTCCTCACACTTCTCTGCTCCAGCCTTGGGCTTCCCCATGAGTTTCAGTCTTTCAGCATAAACCTGCTCCAGCATGGACTCTCCATGGGATACAGTTTCTTTCTCTGCCAGCCTGGATGTCAGCTGCACCATGGTCTCTCCAGGGTTTACAGGGAAGTACCTGCTCCACCAGGACCCCTCCAGGGTCACAGGGCAATCTCTGCTTGGAACAGACTGTGTTTAGCATATGGCAGTCCCAGCCTCTCCTCTCATAGGTCACCTCTGCAGCTCCCATCCCCACCTGCCCCGTGGGGACCTGTGCCTAGTACAGAGATAAACATTTTTCTGTTTCAAAATACGTTTTTCCAATGGCTGATAATGGAGTGCTGAGGCTGGAAAATTCCCTCTCACAAATCAACAGGATGGTGTTGAAATCAGTGCATGCCTTCCTTGTATAAGCCGTTTACATGCCACGACCAGACAGAGGAGGTCTCTGTAACTACGCTTGGAAGGAAGATAGAAATAATTTAAGCACTGGTGCTTAAAAGATCTTTATATATTCATAAACATTTATCTAATGAACTCTACACAGGGCCCAGCATTCTGTGTTGGAGTCTCACAAGCTCCAAGTTACATTTACTAAAATCAGATGTTTTACTGCTCTCTAACTAATTAATGTGAAAAGCAGTACATAAGCCATGAACAACAAAATGCTGTCTCAAAAATCCAACTTATTTCCTTCACGGCAAATTACAGCATACAACAGGCACTCTCCTTGAGAAACTATGAGAATTTACTTCTAGGTTATCTTTAAACAATTTCCCAAAAGAGGCATTTGGGGAGAAATAAAAGATGTGACTTGGGAAACCTGTTCTACCACTGAGAAATACTTGTTCTTAATTACTGTTTAAATGAAGGCTGCTTTCCCAGAAGGACCACAGCTTCACTTGACCAAATTGAGATCGCAGTTAGTAACTCAAAAAGCATTTGCAATACCAGCATAATAAAGTATGCTGTGATCAATATACTTATGTTTCACACCTTTTAGATATTTGTGATCTCTGGGATTTAAAGAATATTTAGTGATCTTTTACAGCATCCTAAGAACAAAATTAAGAACTATAAGAAAACATTTTATTATTAAGACATGTTTTTGATTCTCATGCAAATGAGTAAGGTGTTGGGGAAAACAAAACTCACCAGAAAAAAAAAAACAAACAATAGATGTAATTTAAGAGAGGACAAGATTTCTGTGCACAAATATTTGAAAGACATCTAGGTCTAGAGCACTTAACAACTGATGAGTGAAAAAAATGGTCCAACTAAGATAAATGAAAATTGCTTGTAAGAGAAATGTTTATGGCAAATATCATAAAAGCCTTTTTAATGGTAGGAGAACTCAATATTAATTTCTATGGCACAATAATTTTGCATATGAATGCATTTATGTATTTCTGTATGTAGAAAACAAGATCAAGAAATTATAAACAGCAATAGGATTAGTATAGGCAGGATGCAGTTGTTAAAAATAATGGAATTGTGTTGTCCTGCAAAATATTTTCAGTAGTAAGAGTGGCTAGTGCAGGATATGAACATTTTTTCATTGATCTTGTATTTGGATTAGTGCAGTACTTGCAATGTTGTAATCACCTACATGCTAGAAGATGAATTAAAATTAGATAGGTGCATAGAGAGAATATTAGGATAAGAAAGGAGCAGCGACTTCTCTTCCATTCACTACAGGGAGGGGAGGAAGGGTGTGCAGAGAATTAGAAGAGCCTGGCTTGTTCTGCTTAACAAAAGTGGAGAGTGAATGTTATTGTTCTCAGTTAATACATTGCAGAATAAATTTTATTTTAAGCAAAGGACAAGCCTAAGACAGCAGAAGAACTCAAGGACACAAATAGATCAGAAATAAATTTAGCTAGAAGTTCAAGGTAGTTTTAAAATATTCATGGAATGAATCACAGACAAAAATTCAAGCTGGAAGGACCCACAGGAGGACATCTAATCCAAGCTGCAGAGTCAGCTTTGAGGTCAGACCAGGTTGCTCAGGGTTTTAAGCCATCAGGTCTTAAAAATCTTCAAGGATGGAAATTGCACAGCCTCTATGAGCTACCAGCTCCAGCTCTTGACTGTTCCCAGAGTAGTGTTTCCTTCTATTTCACCTTTTCTCTTGTTACAGCTTACACCCACTGTCTCTCATTCTCCCATAAAGCCCCACTGGGAAGTGGATGGCTCTGCCCTCTTGATAACCCCTCACTGGGTCCTGGCCAGCTGCTGTTGGGCCTCCCCACAAGCCATCTCTTCTCAAGGCTAAATAAGGCCTGATTCCTCAGCCTCCCTATGCAGGACAGGTGCTTCTGCTGAATTTGTTCAGTTGCTTCATGTCTTTCCTGTACTGGGCTCTGCAGAGCATTAGAAGATGAAAGAACTTGGTGGTGAAGACAAAGGCAAAGAAGGCATTAGGTGCATTGGTCTTCTCTGTGTCCACTGCCACAAATTCACTCTTCCCACTGAGCAGTGAGCACACAGCTCCTTGTTTGGCCTTCTACTGCTCACACAGAGGATGAAGATCTTTGTCTTGCTCTTGACATCCCTTCCAATTCCAGGTGAGCTTGGCTTTCCTAACCCCACCCTTGAAAGCCTGGCCAATATTTCTAAAGTCCTCCTCTGTAGCCTGGCCCTGTTTCTGCCTCTTTTTTGTAGCCATTTTCCAGAGGGGTTCTCTCATGAGTTCTTGGCTTAGCTGAGCAGGGCTGCTGATACACCTTGCTTGTTTTCCCAGGTATCAGGTGAACCATTCTCATGTCGTCAATATAGTCATGTCAGTTCCCCTCAACTCTTTCACCCTTCAGAGCTGCTCTTGTGTGACCTCAGCTGCCTCTGTCCTGGCCAAGATGCTCACCTGGTGCCCCACATTTGGGCTCTGCCATTCTCCTCCCTTGCTCCCCTCAGGATCTTCATCTCATCTCTTTTACACTCACCATAGCTAAGGCTACCATGGGTCAGCACCTCCCCTGCTGGTGTCTCTTTGAAATAGATAGCAGATCTATCAGTGTGATCCCATGGGATGGCCCAACAGGCCCCGTATCAAGAAGTTGTCCCTGACTCGATCCAGAAACCTACTCCTGCATGTGTCCTGACATGTTGCCTCTCCATCAGCGACAGGGAGGTTCATGGCCCCAAGGAATACCAGGCTCTGCCCTCCCCGACTCCCTCAAAGGTTTTAAATCCCCTCCTTCAGTCTGACCCCGTGGTGGTCTCCCTGTGCTGCTGCCCTTCCTTCTCTTCACTAGGTTCTGACTCACATCCCTCTGACTCACCAGACCCTCAGCTGGCCCACAGGAGACTCCACATATCCCACCTGCCACTGTAAGCCTTGGGCAACCCTCCTTCTTATCCTCCCTGCCTGACTTTCCTTCTTGTCTTTCTTGAGTGTGCCACTGTGAATTACTGGAAGAGCCTCCAAGAAAAACAGTGACAAAAAATCCAGCTTGAATCAGAAGGGTTTTCATGACTTTATGAAAGTAATTGACATGTCATTACTAGTGGCGGCAGAAGACTAGGATTAGTACCCTTCTGTCCTGGTTCTGACCAGGACAGGGCTAATTTTTGCATACTGGGAAAAGACATGTCCAGGACCTGGAGGTTATTCTATACCACCCCAACTTCCTCTCTCTTCTGGGAAGGAGTGATTACTCCTGGTAAAGTAAGCATGATGGAGGGAGATGTCTGGTATTGTCTGTTGTTGGGAGGGAGTTGCGTGTGAATAATTTCTTTTCTTGTACCCCCTGTCTTTAGTATTGTAGCTGTTACTGTTTGTTTCTTATCTCATTGCTGTTAACAGTAAATTGCTGTGATCTCAAACCATGATGTCTACCTATTGTGCCTCCACTTCTCTCCAGAGCAGTGCATGGTTTGGAGAGTCCCAGTGAGGGCAGTGAACTAGGGAGAACCATTTCTAATCCATGACACCTTCCCCGTCTGTGCTTATTTCAATGGACACAAAATGCATACATCTCCTCTTCTGAAGAATTTAATGTCTCATCCAAACAATTAAACTTTTTTTCTAACTAATCTAGTTAAGTGAGAGACATTTAATGGACAGCAGAAAAATCCCCATTTACTTAAACCCTGGGATCAGATATAATATAGGGTCCAGTCTTGCCTGCAGTTCCAGACAGAGGAAAAACACTGGAAATCAGACCACATGTAAAACCTGCATTTCAGTCTCCATCCTCTTTGGATACTAAAACCACAGTAAGAGAACCAAGGTTCTAGTTCACAAGCTAAAGGTTTGCACGACCACCTCTGGGAAGTCACATTTTTTCCATTTTCCTTGCATTAATCACCACTGGGAGTAAATCAACTTAGCTATAAGCAGCATAAGGGAAACTTTTGAGTTTCTCTTTTGGGACACAGTAGAAATAGCAAGAATTGTGCAGGGAACAGCCCTCACATTCATATGACTTTGAAAGCAAGGAAGAATCAGATTCTGCTCACTCGAGAATAGAAATGTTGGCTCTTAAACTAAAGATCACTATCCCAAAACCATAGTGGTGAAACACAACAAGGCTCTCAAGGAAAAGCTATTTCCAGTCACTACTGTATACATAAGGTTTAAAGTTTACTTTAACTGTTTAAAGTACAAAAACCCAAACAACCCAGCTCATAACAAATAGATTACCATTAGAGGCATATAATTTAGGGAGTCAAACTGAGCACCACTCCTTAAACTGGAAAGACTCAATAATTCTTTTGAATACCAATAAGAAAACTGATAGAAACAAAAAAATATGCTTAATAAAGAGTTTTTTGACAACAGAAAGCTAATATGATGGGAGCTCTGCAAACTAGCTCCTCAAATAGACAATAAAGCAGATTCTCATATCTTTCCTTTGGAATTACATTTAAAATTTAACCTTTTTTAAAAGATAATGTAATAATTAAAGCAAAACTTTCCATATATTCTCCTCATGCATCTGGGCATCATCAGTATTAACCTGCTCTGGTGCGTAAATCAAATTCAGTAATTCAAACAGCACTGCAAAGGTATAGGCAGGCCATTTACTGAGCTCTGCCAGTCTGATTATACTCCACACAAAGCCACAGTGATTTGACAGGAATTTTTTTACTCCATTCATAAGGTAACATGGAACCCATAATGAATGCAAAGCAAGCTACTGATGGCTCCTCAGGAATTAATTTGCAACTTGGACTCTACTGCAACAGAAACTTTGAGGAAAGGGTATATTTGATTTTGTTGTTGACTTTTCATACTAGTTGCTTCATAATATTTGAGTGTTTTTAAACTACAGAATGTCTTAGTTTATTGCATTTCTATTCTGTAAATGACATATCAAGGAATGATTACTAGTACTGAAATCTAACTCCAGTCCTATGCAGAGCATAGGACAATACAAGTGGATGCTACCACACTGCAAAGCATAGTTCTCCCTCTGAAAATTTTACCAGTGTTTTCAAAAGAACTGAAGATTTCTAGTAGATTGAATTTTAAAATAATTTATTGTCTGTCAGAGCTGAAAATCTGTAAATTATGTACCAAGAAATATGAACATTTTCTAATGATTGTAAAATATGAACTGTTAGCCAGTTTTGTGAAAAGAAATGAAGACACTCTTTAAAACATTTCATCTTTCTTGTTTGCCTTAAGTAAAAAAAAATAGTTTTAATAAGCCTCACAACACTTTAACACTTTCAAAAGCCCTAGTGAGTTATCAATTCCTAGAAATACCTCTTGTATAAGAAGAGATAAAGCAGTGTTCAGGGCTGAATTGACTACCTTAAAGAGGACACCAAAAATATATTTAAAACCCAGTAATGTTGGATTTTATGTATTAAAATTAGAAAAGAAATTTTTGTTCCTTACACATTCACAAATTTGTCAGGTGGGTACTAACATTCCCCCTAGATTTAAGAAGAGATATTTATAATGCATTGTAGAGTGCAACCACAGTCTGTATTAAAGGTGATGCATACATTAAAAGCAGTTACATGGCAACAAAAATAAAAAGGAAACACTAGGAAACAGGCCTCTGAGAAGCATAAAACCTTTCAAAGATCACCTGCAGAGAACAGGAAAAAGAAGGACTCATTAGCATAATTTCCTCCTGCTGTGGCCACTCAGCTATCCTGCAGGTTTCTAGAAACCCATGAACATCCTCCTGCTTAATGAGTTCCCTCCTGACAGACCAAAGCTATCCTTTCCCCTGGAGCCTCCTCATATACAAACTTCTGGATGAATTTGACCCTTACATGTCACTATTTGCTCCCTTACTTGAGAAGCATTTGGCTTGAGGGCCTATCCTCTGAACAACAGAAGACCTCTCAGCTGGCCAAAAACTTGTAAAAGCCTCATAAAATCACATTTTCAGAAGGAAGCAGCTGGCTGGAGCCAACCACAGAACTTGTTTTAGCACCAGACCAAGCAAACAGTGCTGAGCTAGATTCATGCTTGCAAGTCTGTCCAAATGCCAGAATTTGGGATCAGTCATGGGCAGAGACCAGAAATGGCACCAGGGTCACCAAAGGAGGAGGAGTTAAGGTGAATGAAAGGGACTTAGTCAACAGTAGCATAGTGACCCAAAAGTCTTTCTTCAGTGTCCACTGCTCCTTCCTAGTCCAAAACCTCCCTTTGTCTTACACATAAAGCTGGAAAAGGAACAGTCAAACTTCTGAAAGCAAAAAGTATGTTGGATAATTTATCCAAAGGTCCTGTTTATCAGGCCTGATCAGCACTATTTCTTGAGGAAAGAGTATTTCTCCCCTGTTACAACCTGCCACCAGAAGGCAAGAGGAACTCAAGTTCTTGTTAATAGATCCCTTGGGACAGATTAGTGGGACGTGACACTGAGTGCTCAGTGTTTATAAATGTATATATATATATATTTATTATAGAACAATTTGGTTGCAATGGAAAGCAGGTATGTATCCATTTTGGTTGTTATTATCTATAGTAATATAGCATATAAAAGCCCAGACACCACACAGGAACCTGAGTAAGAAAGACAGTTTTACCAAATTACCACTGGGCACAAACATACAAACTCCTCTGTGTAGATGCACAGGCACACTTGGATTTGTTTTTCTAATGATATTGGTCAAAACAAATAGTAGCTTGAGTCTGGTTCAGGGACAGAAATTCAGTGTCAGCTGCATTTCTCCTGTCCAGAAGCATCTCTGAATAAAACTCTTTCATGTCTCTAATTAAGAAGGCAATTAAATCCAGAAAAAAATTTTAATATAATATGTTTTGTGCAATATTACCCTGATCTACTGGACAAGGACATCTATCATCCAGGCACAGACTGGCTCCATCTGGGTTGTGTTACTTGTTAGACTTTGCTGTCTCTTGTCCCAGGCAGATTCAGCTTGGGAATGAGTGAATGAGAATGAGTTTTTACACTTTGAAATGGAAGGTGTTCAGTACATGGACTGATGTTAGCAATACATTTCATGCTACATTCAGTGCACACTGGGGTGGGACATTTGCTCCCACTGAACACATCTGGGCTATCACTCACTCCTAGGCACTAAGGTAATTTATCCACATCCCACTTTGCCACTGATGACAACTTGGCATTTGTCCATGAAACAAGAGTGTCTGAGAGGCCTGTTCAATATTTATCCTCACATCAAGTGTTTATCACCTTCGTAGGATATTAATTTGGGTATTACATATTTAATAAACCCCCCTATTTACTCGAGGGGAGAAAAGTGTACTTCATTTTGTTTATAAATTAAAACACTTCTTAAAAAATGCAAACACTGTCTCTGTAAGTAACAGCCCCTAATGACCTATCCACCATTTCTAGTCATTCATAAGGATAAATTAGTTTTCCTGTCCTCTTCCCAAATCCTCATGCTTTCTACTACAGTTACCAACCTGTGACTCAAGTAAAGCCCTGGACACCTCATGCCTCACACGCTGAAAGGTGTATTCTTCACATGACAGGACAGCCCTAAACTCTCCACTTACGTGGCATTCAGCTCTGCTCTGTCACCCTGTCAGTGGAAATTGTAGGGATCAGTCTCTTCCCAAGCACCCCCCAGCCAGGTTAAATGCTGTAGTTAGGGAACTGTGTGTCAGCATTTGCCTGCTTCCCCAGCTGACATGAAATCAGCTCATGCCACAGCAACCTCAAGAGCTGAGACACACTGTGCTTGCTCTACAAAAACCATCAAAGGCCAGCAGCTGTCCCCTCATGTGCACTGAAAACACACCCACATACTGCACAGTTCAGCTGAATGGGCGTCATTTTTTTTGCTACATCTCTCTGTTCTGCATTTACCTTCTCATCAGCTCACCTTGTTCATCTTGCCCCATGCATGGACAAATGTAGTGGCCCCACTAGGAGGGAAAAGGGAAGTTATCTGTGACCAGATTTGTTGGAGATAGAAGCTGTACTGTCCTTGGCACAGGCCCATTGCCTTGTGCTATCCCTCACGACAGCAGCAGCAGTGAGGAGCTGTGATGGCTGCAGCGCTGCAGCCTCTCACTGCAGCACTCTGTGAACTCCAAGCCAGCCCTGCCCTCAGGAGAGACACTGCATGCAAAGCCCGGTCCTCCGGGTGTTGCTGGAGCTGACTGAGATACTGCCACCAGCCAGAGACAGGTACGTTCTGCAAGGAAGGACATGCTGAGCTCCCTGGCAGTGGACAGACAGCTTTCTTACCCCATTAGTGACTTCACTTCTAAGGATGCCCAAATATTCCTAACTCCCTCTGTGCACAGGCCAGAAAGTGGACAGTGTGAATCAACTGTTGAAGAAATCACAGATGAAGGCCAAAGGCTCTTCAGCTGAGTTGGTAAGTGGCCAAGGTAGCGCAGAAAAAACAAAGTTATT